CCCGTCATAACAGCTCGTATTCCGTGTTTAAACTAGAAGATGAAGTTCGCACTCAGGAATGAACGGTCTTTCTCACACAAGGTATGATGATCGTCTGAGCTTTTTATTGCCTAAAAATTATAAGATAAAAGTTAAGATTTCAAGGAAAGACCTCCATAAGCACATTTTCTAAAGGCTCTGTTGAATTTTTTTCAATTTTTGGGATGAAAATGCACGAGATTGAGTTTATTTTTATTTTTAGGTAAACAACAATCCAAAACTCAACACCTCCAGTCGTGTTTTCATCTATCTGTAGAGCTATATTTAAGGGTATTTTAATGTTAGTCTTGTTCATTAACATCTGTAAAAGGCTTTTAAGGTAACACAAAGTATTGCTATTTATAATTTCTATTTGAATGCAATGTCATTGAATAAGAAATGTTTTATAAATCTAATATTTATCATTGCTTAATTATTCATATTAAGGTCCTAGTAGGTCCTTTACGTTTGCAGCTCTGAAAAATAATGATATGCAAGTGTGTTAAATATTATAATATTTTAAAAACCTTTTATGAAAAAGAAAATTTGTCTGGTAACATAAACAGCAARAAATTAATTTCTGAGATGCATGCCTCTCATTTGACCCATGACATAATCACTGAGTCTAGATGGTGGTCTCTATGCCATACCTTGCAAAATGTGGTGTAGAAAAAAGTCCTCAATTTATTTTGCCAGGACTTAATATACAAATATGCTTCCTTGGCGGTATTGTGTGAGGTGGTCRTGCTTTCTTCTGTTGAGATGCAACCTTGAAATAATCTAATTGGCTGATCATTTCAAAGGTTGATCAATAATAATGTTTTTGCAATAKTCACATTTTCTGCAAAATGCATTCAGGTCGTTAATCATATCTGATCATGTTTTTCTACAAGCCACTAAGAAATAAAAATTTTCCCCATGTAATGGGGGTCTGTTAATAATTTTTTTTAATTTTAGAGAGTTTAAAATTCATATCTTAAAGATAAAACATTTACAGCTAGATTTTGCTAAGTTCAAGAAGATCATGTGGAAGGTTTCAGAGGTCCTGTGAACTCTGTCCCACGGCAAAGCGAGGAAAATGTCTTGCTGCTTTCAGTACAATAATCCTGCCTAACGTACTGCATTAAAATAAGACTCCGGTACGGGTTACACTCGATTACCTGGGACTATTAGTTAAATCATGTATCCTCGTGTTTCAGAAAGGAACTGGAATCTTCTTTTGAGGCAACTTGGTGCACAAGGGCTTAGAAGTACTTTGAAAGAAGTGAGAGTTTTCTAAATTTAATGAGATCAAAGATAGGTATCCACTGTAGTTTTGAGAATAAGGAAATKGACGACTGAGAAAAGTGAGCATCAAGGAGTGTACACACATTCCATTGTTGAAGAGGAAGGAGTCCCAGGAGTCCTGTTTGTTTCATGAGCCCGATGAGTCGTGAGCTGTGGGTCTGAGTAATGACTCAGGTCATTTCAACTTATTACTGGGTTACCTGTGGTAAACCAGTCATAAATTACTGTATGAAATATATTATATTTCGGTATGAAAMTCACAATCTCTACACTGCGTCTCTCTCTAAAAAGACATTTACATCTGTGAAAACATATTTAAAAGATGCTAAAGCATCATGGTTTTTATGTTCATAATTCATGAATCAATGTTCAAAGTTCAAATCTTGCTTTTCTTTTCTGTTTCTATGTTTAAACRATTGTTCCTTTTCCTCTTGAACAGCAGTTGCAACTGAAATTCTTTCAGCATATTGCCATGGTTGCCAGATGCAATAGGCCCTTTGCAGTTAATGGTCACGTGTCTGTACTGGACTGCAAAATTTTTGTTTTTATATKAAATTAGTRATTCTTTTTAGCTACTTGTAAAGAACTGAATGAAAACATGTGTATGCAGTGTGTTACGAAATGCAGTGTTATTACGATCTCTCGAAACAGGTTGTAGAAAGTTTGTTTGCAGTCCAKTWAATTTCACCCATGGGAATCAAAATGTTCATTCATTTGCTTTCAGTGAATTAATCAGCACGTGATTGCTDAGCTGCAAAGGGCCTATTTTCGTCTTAGGCAATAGACCCATTTACCTTATTCATATTGTCTGAGTTCACATTGGCAAATGTGGAGAAATAATAAGCAGCATTCCTTAGTTCACCAGAAAATGTAGCCAACCATTTCATGTCACTTGGGACTAGAACAAACGTAAAGATAACTGAATGATCCAAAATAGTATAAGTCTTACTTTCAACTTTCTTAACGTTTGCAAATACTTTTCTGCATATCTAAACATTGTTTTATGTGACTCTGGACAATTTGCCCCACAAAGGAGATCGCTAACATTTCCAGTATCAACACTATTAATGAAAGCTATACGTTTACCATAACTCAAGAGTTTAGGCATTTTCCCTGTGCTACCAATACTTCTTTTAGTTTTATGTACTTTGCTTTTGTTATTAATCGGCTTCATAGATAATGTTGTAGGTGTTGCCTTGTACTTTTCCTTACTYATAAGGCTCTTATCTTAAAGTACATTGACACTGCGCTGTATGTTTTCAATACTTCTCGTTGACTTGACTGATTATTTTCTTCTTTAAATAAAAACTATTCAGTACATGCCCTTGCTGTTCATAAGGCTTCAAACAAGTATTCAAATGGAGCTATGTCTGAAATGAAAAAACTATTTACTTGGCAAATACAGTTCAAGATCTCGTTAATAAGTTGATAAAAGAAAAAATAACTTTCAAGACTGGAYATATAAGGAAAAGGAAAAGAATACAATGAAAACAAAAATAGTCTTGAGACTTCCTTTCAAGTGGTCCCGAAAAACGYAATCCAAAGAAGTACTTGTTGCAGCCGCAGGATGCTCTCTTATTTCAAGGACAACAATACAATCCTATGGGTGAATCAAAGAGCGCCTTCATGTGTGGTTTTTCTTTGGGAATTAATTATCTTAATTTGTCAAGCGTCATATCTAGAGCGATACTTGGAAACTAAATAACTAAATATTGGTTTTCATCAATCACACGCACYGTGGCAGACATTTTTTGTGTCAAGCCTAGCATCTGCATGCATAGTCTGTGAATCAAGGGCATAAAGATGAACGTTGTCACGACTGTTAGGATGTTTGAGTTGTCTATTGAGGAAGATGGTCAGCAGTCCAAGAAATTGTGAGGTCTTGTATGACGAACAGTTCGTAAAAGCCATCCACTTCACCCTGTGTCATTGCTGTTCTATAATCCTAAAGTAACCAGTTGGCTATGAGGATTGATCAAGAGAATGTTTAAATAAGCAAAGTTTAGGACAAGCAACCGGAAATTGAAGAATGCTTAAGATTTCACAGCCCACACACTCTGAAAAATCCATGAATATATGTTTTTCATCAACAACAGCTTGAATTACGAAATCTTACGGCTGGTATCGGCTGAAATAATCAGCTTTGCTTTCGACTAGTGCTCTTATTTGCATGTGAGAACCATCTATGGCACTCACAATATCGGGGATGTCTGATAGATCTGCTAACTTTTCTATTGCTGTTAAGGTTTCCGYGGCAGTCTCTGGGAAATGAATGACTTTTAATCTTGTATGGTCCATTTACAACGTCCTGCAGTGCTTTGATGACAGTTGACTTGCCTACTTTAAAAACTGGGGCAATGGTAACATATGAATTGCCATGGCCTAAGGGATATAAACCCAAGCAGGAACCATATATGAAGGAATGGCCTCCCTTAATAATCTAGTATTCTGTCGCGCCAAATGAGTACAAAGAATATTCAAAATCATATTAAACGTGTCCCTTTTAACCCTAAGCTGCTGATGAAAGTAATCTTGAGGTATATTTGGGTCAGCATAATGTAACTGGAACCAAGAATTAACCGGCCRAGGAACTTGGCCATACAACCAAGTGTATGGGCGGTTTCTAAGTCTTCGACGACATCTTAATATTCCTCTGCAACATAGCAAACAACAAAGTAAAAATATCGTTTGCMCATCTCTGTTGCAAAACTGCGATAAAAGTGGCTTGATGAAGTTGAAGTTGAAGTTGTAGATACTGAATGTAAGATAGGGTTACCCATTCTCAATCTTCAAAAGAAAGTCATCAGTTTGATAACTTTTAGTGACTACAGAGCACATAAAAATCCATTATTTCTTGATCTAATCATCTTAAMGATTAAAGACCTTGTGAAGTTCCAAACTGGTATTTTCATGTATGACTATSATCATGGCAATCTCCCTGATGTATTTAAGGATACACGGAACACAATCGGGTCGGGTTTTTTGAACGTTCATAGCGCGTTTAGTTTATATAAATTTCCCCATAAAGTATACATTTTCTAACAGCTTAAAGTTTTAGTTTTGGACAAAAATAATTCATTTTGGATAAATCGGGCATTGATTGAAAACGCTATGGTTCGACGCAAGATGTTTGTTTTCCCACTGGTTAGCTTAAACGGATCAAATTGTTTTTGCATCTTACTACACGTATGTTGTTCTACCAAAGTGTGTCTGCGTTTTTTCTTTTAGCGCTTCTTTAATCTTTTATTCAATTCCAAAGTTATAACTACATGTTTTTAAGGGCATTCTTGAGAAAATGGCAAATATCTGACAAAAGAAAAGGAAAATGAAAAAACGCAGACACATTTTTAAACTCGAGCATAGTAGGAATCCACATGCCAAGTTTCACGGTAATTAATCAAAAACCGAGGGAGAATAAACCTTCTGAAAAAGTGTATTTTACCAAAAACTACTTTTGAGAAAAACACAAGTTTAGTTTAATGGGATTATAAGTTTATTTACTCAATGTTGACAAGTTTCTGCACAGTACGCCAATGAGCGTAAAGTAAGTAATATCATACCGGACCATGGCCAGGACAGCAGGTATACTGTACTTCCGGTCTCAAGCTTATTGACCTTCGYGTCGCGGTGTTTACCTAAATCTTGAAGTTCGTTTCGAGTTCATGATGATCAAAACCAGAGGTCGAACATCTAGTTCAACTGAGGTGGGCCGAGGAAGAGGGCGAGGAAGAGGGTGAGGAAGAGGGCGAGGAAGAGGGCGAGGAAGAGGGCGAGGAAGAGGGCGAGGAAGAGGGAGAGGGCGAAATGCTGAGCAAACCAGAGAACAACAGGATGTTTTGTCGTTCTTCTTCTCCCTCCTCTTCCTTCGACGCCTGGTTCAATTCTTCGTCTTCGCTTCGGCCTAGATGCTTCTTGGCACTAGCACTGGCACTATCATTTCGCTTAAGAAGCTCTTCTCTATTATAGTAAGAGMCTTTGTCGCTCAAAGAGAGTGATTTTGCATTCTCATGACAGAATGCTGTGGAGCTACATCTTCTTTTCCTTTTGTTAGAACCTCCACAGAAAGGATTTCTCTTTTGCTTACGAGGCATCTACCAACGCTAATATCCCACGAAAGAATTTAAAAAAAGCCTGAAGAAATCTAGTAGAAGTAATTAATCTTGATAAATAGCTAAACTCTGTAAATATGATATAATTTGCTACTGCTACTGCTCGACAATGCGCGTGACGTCAAACTTACTTGGATCAAYTGAYTTCCGGTGAATAGATAAATGGCAGTTCCTGTCAACAGCACAACACCTACTGGTAACTTCTAAAAATGCTTTTTTACGAATATCTCCCTTAATAAAAARAAAATTAACTTAATTTTTATATAAACTTTAAAAACTTTTAAAAACTTTAAAAAGATTTGCAAACTATACGTGCTACRCGCCTTTGAAGTCTTCCTTGATATTTACTATTCACTTCACCACATTAGTGGCATACAGTGTCGCAATAATCCAAAATGGAATAAGTTTGATAAGTTTAATAACWGCCTTTATTAAGTATAACATGGCAGCAAAACGTGCCAGCTTAAGATACACAATTACAATTTTTATAAGTGAAAAAATGAAAATGAAACTTACCGCGCAGAATTGAGAAAAAAGACATGAAAATTACTTTCGATAAAGATCATTAGRTCAAAAGCCACATGAACAAGATGAATTAAATACAATTTTTTTTTTGTATTTCTTTTTTTTAATCTCGAAAACAATAAGAAAACTAAGACACATGCTAGGAAATAAATAAACGAAGATGGTAATATTTCTTTTACTTCTTTTATATCTTTAAATCCAAATCYGAGAAAACAGAAAACGATCAAGAGGGTGGCTCAGAATCAGGGACGAGGGGAAAAGCTTGGGAAATTTTAAGCTATTAAGCTGAGTAAAAATCTTTTTAAAAAAATAGTGAATTTCTAAATTTGAAACAAAATTTGAAATCAAGAAAATAGCTGAATTTAGAATACAGTAAAAACCYGCGTGTAAGAACCTAGTGGTTTAAGAACCTGCTGGCAGAAATTTGCCATTTTAATACCCAAAAATATAAGAACCTGTATATCCAAGCAAGATCTAGCAGGTTCTTATATGAGGATAGATAGATAGATAGATAGATAGATATATCATACACACATATATGTATATATACTGTATACATCTCTTCTTGTACATACATATAGTTACATACATTTTCTAATGAGTTTTGTTCGGCTTATGATAAAGTTGTGAATAAATACTGTATATTTCTGGACCAAGTTTATGTATTTTCTGTGAATAACAACTATATCTCCTTCATAAAAATTAAGAACCTAATTAAGAACCTACTTAGCCTAAATTGCCAATAACTACCTCAAAATACGAGAATCTATTTTGCCAGACGTTAAAAATTGTAGGTTCTTACACGCAGGTTTTTACTGTATCAAACCCCTTTTAAGATTGGTGTTAAACTGTGACAACGTAACTGGACTTCCATCCTGATGGCAAAAAAGGGACCCTGCCAGCCCTCTCCTAAGTTGACAGTACTGTGAGAGAGATTTCACGGGACAGAATGGCTGGGAATCTTCACAATCGATTAAAATGTCAAACAGTGCTTTGAGTTATGTTTGTAATCAATGATGGCAATCTTAGCTGAGTGGAGGTTAGCTTGGGTTATCAGGAATGATAAAGCATAAATTGAACAACCGTGTCTCTAGTCTGTGTACTCTTGGCAGCTAGCGCTCCTACTCGGAAAAACCCATAAAAGGCTAGCAGAAACATAGCGGAATAGAGAAATCGCTGAAATGCAGTAGGGTTGGTATTGTCTGACCAATTGAAGCATATTGTACCGAGGAATAAAATTCGGGAATAAAAYCAYYAACTGAAAACCCTTTAGAATAGGATAAATGGTGTATTAAACGAAATTCCCCAGGAACCTTCTTTGGGACTACACCCAGGGGTGAAGTTCGAAAAAAKGAGAGAATGGAGGCAACAAGAAAGGCCCAACAATTCTACTGGCTTCGCATTCCTTACGCAACTTAGCTAAGGYGACTTTCGGTTGCTCGAGAGCGCTCTTGAAATTTGTTGAGATGAAAGAAACGTGTTAACCCWGAAAAAAGCGTTGGTGACCGCTGTTAATACAGAGGCAGTCAGGGCAGCTACGTGCAAGGTGAGYATCATGCGCTGGGACTTCTCTGGCATCAGCTCTCGATGACCTCATGCATCGAGTCACTTGCTTGGTGGGAGGCATAACTTAACAAAGTGCACGATAAAAGTGTAAATATATAAAGTCTAATCGCGCAAAACGTGATAAAATTAATCGCTCGCGCTTTGGCAAAAAGTAAAACRTACAAAAGAGAAGGGCAACGCATAAAAGCGAGTACATAAATYGACCCARGCGCCGTCCAAAATTATTAAAAAACACGGACAAAGCCGTAATATATGTAATACGACATTAAAAGCATCTGTACGACATAAATTACAGTATAAATTACAAAAACGGCATGAACAGGAAACCGAGTGCAATGGACACACAGTAAAACGGCGATCAAAAGATTGTACACTCAAAATGGTTTCTGAACGCCCAAAGTTAGGCAAAGCATAAAAAAACAAAGCACGTTCTACAGGGTTCTACTATTTTACCTTGCATTTAAACAATTATTCGGCCAACAAGAGCAAAAAGATTCCACAATCATAACCATTATCCTGCTGTGAAACCTAGTTGGATAAAGGTACCCCTATTTAGACATAAAACAACAAAATGTGTGGGAGGTTACATAATGATAAAAACYGACCTTCGTTTAAATACTGGGAGCCTGTCAAAGTTTAACTTTGCTGTGCTGTCATTTCCCATTCTAGACTTCCATTCACATTCAAAGAAACTAAGAAAGGTTTAAAGATTAGCCATAATGGAAATGATACGCTTCCTAATATAATTTACTTAAGCACTAMCTTCGCACTAGCATCACTTCATGGTTTTAAGACATTGAAACGGAATGGCCTCCAGTATGAGCAACAAAGTCGATAATGAAGACCGTTTTCCAAAGCACCACTGGACCATTGCTTGCCTCTGTTGCACACAAAACTTGGACATTTCGTTTATAAAACTCATCAATTATCTTGCTTTTGTTTTCTAGTCACAAACCTTTACTATATAAGTATTTAGCGCCCAAACCTATTTCACTTAAAAGAGAGGACACCAATTCTTTGACCTCATTAGTAAAATSCATATAAATAATTGCATAGCTYTCTCCAATCATAGTTCGAAATTTTYGGATGCTGGTTTCCATAGCGTGCTCGCACCTTCCTTCTTCTTTTTATTGCTAACAGTTATGTAGTTTAGCACATTTCATTTAATGTTTTTCCAATCCACACTCCTATTTGTGGGAACAAGCAAAAGTAAAATATTCTTAGCAGAGCGTATGTAAATTTTGTTCATTTTGGTAGCTGTCAATGCCATTATGGGAACCCAGGTAAACGATCCTTCAAAAAGACTAGTGAGTCTAGTATTCCATTTAGCTGTTTAGGGCAGTTGACCTTGTTCAGAATTTTAAAAGTGTAGGTAAATCTGAAGAATCTTCTTCTATTATATAAAGTAAGTCACCCAAGGGAATTCCTCATTTTCTGTGTGCAAGTGTTGTAGCTKGCCTTAAGGATTACTCTCATCGCACGATTTTGGGTTCTTTTAAATTTCATTTTAGACAATAAAATAAATCAAAGTAAATAAAAATTAATAAATTACAATACTGAAACTTTCGCGAGATATRAACAAAGTCGTAAGATTGTTGATGAATAAATTCCACAAAATTCTTCCAAATCTAAGACCAAGGGCAGTTTTCCACTATTATGGACACCGTTATACGTGACGCTTCAACAATAGTACAATAGACCTTTCTAGACCAACACCAAATTCTCAATCATGCTGTAACAAATAGAACTGGACATCCCTTTCTTAACAAATGTAAACCTTGAGATCAATTTTTCCCTTTAACACTTTATTTTCTTCGCRCTTGTGTCGAACATACAATTCACGATGAACTCTGAACACACACACCTTGGCAAACTACTGCAACTTCTTATATAGTTTTTTACAATCTTTCTAGAATGTTCYAACAGTACATCATAGAATTTTCCAGAAATTACGATAAACAAGTCAAGTTTAATCTATAAATAGACATTTCATAATCACTTCTAACTTACTAGAAAWTTCTATAACAACTAATCAAGAATGTCCTGGAAAATCTAGARTATTCTATAAAACGTGCTTATRGTCATTTCTTCTGTCCATCCTYCCCCTCCTCGATGGGCTGTAGGCTCATCGTCTGTAGAACCTTAGTCGTTKCATGTCAATCATCTATTTCGCACTCCAGCGGGCTGATCTTGATATAGGCCTTTCAAAGATTTTCTGTCCAATTCTGACTTTAGCAACTCTCACATATCCATCTTTGCCAAGAATCGTCTCAGTTATTCTGCCCAACGGCCATTGTCAACGTGGCGTATCCGGAGAAATTACCAATACTGTGTTGCCAACTTTTAAGTCTTTGCCTTGTTTGAACMACTTTTTCCTTACATTTAACTTYGGTAACCATTCTCGCATCCAGCGGTCCCAAAAATGCTGAACTAGTTCTTAAACGCGTCTCCATCTTTTTCGAAGATTAAAATCTGTCTCGTCTACGGATTCGGGAGTGAACTTTCCACCGACCTGACCATGAAGGAAATGGTTCGGTGTTATTGGGACGTTATCTGCGGGATTGGCTGACTGATAGGTTAACGGTCGAGAGTTTATAAGTCCTTCAGCACCTGTAAAAGCTGTCATCAACTCCTCGTCTGTTACATCAGCATTTCCTAATATTCCACATATTGCTCTCTTAGCTGCCTTGATCATCGTCTCGTGTACGCCCCCAAAGTGAGGAGCCAGAGGAGGGTTAAAATGCCATTTTACCCCTCTATTTGCAGTTGAACTTGCAACTTGTTCTTGTTTAGTTTCTCTAACAGCTCTTGTAGTTCTCGATCGGCTCCCACGAAATTGGTTCCATTATCCGAAATCATTTCTTCTGGAAGCCCTCGYCGACTTGCCATTTGATAAAACGCATTGAGAAATGAATCAGTGTCGAGACCAAATGCAATCTCCAGATGTACTGCTCTTGAAGTTAAGCACGTGAACATGCAAAGGTATCTTTTAGCTCTACGCTGTCCTCTTCCTTGGATTGTTATAAACGGGCCTTCAAAATCAACTGCTGTGCGAGCGAAAGCACGAAGCGGCATCTTAAGCCTGATCTTTGGTAGAGRTGCCATGATTTGCTGAGCTGCCTTTGCTTTTCTTCTTCGGCATTCGTAACATTCTCCTTTGCACTCTCTAATTTCTTCTCGACCYTGCATTACCCAGAAACGCGACGAAAGCATTGCTAACAACAAGTTGAAAGCTATATTTGCACTTTTGCACTTTTTCTGCTTTTTTTACTAAAATGTCCAATTAGGTGCATATTTAACATACTTGCAAAAAAAAAGAGCCCTTTTGGCAAAAATGTAAGTTCTAACATATTTACTGCAATCCCAGCAAAATAGCTTGCAGGCGATTCTGTATAAATCTAAGATTAATTGCTGAAGGAGTCATAGGAATCAATGAGAATGATTATTTTTGAACATTTCATTTATTTCAGTTGATAGCCTGATACGATTTCACATTTATCGTACATAAATAGATGTTTATTTAAAAATTGCACAGCACAACTTTTTCAAAGAAGGAACTTTTGCACTAAAGTCCTAAAGAAGGTGTACCTATTCAAAATACAAATTAAGGATATTTTCTAACTTGTTTGCTCACAATTTCGGCATTTTGTTTGAAGTAGATACTGCTCATCTTGAGCTGATTTAAACTAACATCATACATTTTAAAGAAATACATAACTCCACATTTTAACTTGAGATTTTCCAGATTTTGAATTAAAACTTTTGACCATAATGGTTGGCATATTACTTTATATCTTAAATATATGAATGACAAATTTATGCCCATCCATACAGTAGCTATGAATCTTAGAGTGACATAAATTTATGCCCATCTATACAGTAGCTATGAATCCTAGTGTGACATAAATTTATGCCCATCCATACAGTAGCTATGAATCTTAGAGTGACATAAATTTATGCCCATCTATACAGTAGCTATGAATCTTAGAGTGACATAAATTTATGCCCATCTATA